TGGGATTTTCAGGCTTGGGTCGTAGTGCCTGGTTTTGTGGTACTGAGGACCATGTTAGGGCATTGTGTAAGTCAGCTGAGCAATATTCTCACTCCCTGAGTTCTCCATTTTCAATTTCCTGCACAAAGCAAGGTACCAATTCTCCTTAACAGCCACCTCCCCGGTCAGCACAGTCTGCCCATGTTGGTGAACAGTGGTGCCTACCAGCTATAGAGCAGCTCACCTGAAAACCACAGAGATACCCTAGGCATCTTGATTTTGATTTCTTTCTTCCCAGGAACCCAGGAAAATAGCTGTTCTGTCTTGTTCTTGAGCCACTGTGAAATCTGCTATGGAATCTACTTTGGATGTCACCTGACTAAACCACTGAAATCAGAGAATGCCACCCCGAAATCACATAGGCACATGGAACCTCTGAATTAAGGACACCTGTGGGACAATCAGAGCATGTTGGGATATTCTCTCTCTCTCTCTCTCTCTCTCTCTCTCTCTCTCTCTCTCTCTCCCTCTCTCTCTCTTTTCAGGGTCTGGATCAGCCCTGTCTTAGACAACGATCTTTGCCCCTGGCCTCCATCTCAACAGCCCCTACCTCCTACCATCCGAGTTCTGGGATGACAGACACGTTCCGCCATCCCTGGTTCCAAGAATTTTATCAGCCATGGAAGGAGGAGGAGGAGGTTACCACCATGCCCAGACAGGCTAGCCCCTGCTCATCTCAGGGCCACTCCAAGAGTCGTTCCAGGGAAGACTTGTCTGCCTGACAGACAATACAGCCTTTATTCCTCACCCATCTCCTTGCCTTCTTGCCACCTCTCACCCAGAGGCTGGAAGCGCCTGATCCTTTCTGTGGTTGCAGATGCCGTCAGCTCCCTGAGTGTGTAATTAGATGTGGGATTTCCCCAGCTCCTCTGCCTCGTGTCAGCTTAATGATCAGCTCAGGCAAGGTAACTAAGCAGGGAAGGGGAAGGGAAGTTATTTTCTGCTCGCCTGCCCCACCACAGTAGCTGTTCAGATGCTGGCTTCTAACTTCCCCCTTCTTGCCCTCCCCTGCTTAAAACATTGGCAACTCATTCCTTCTCCCTCTTCTTCTTTTTTTTTTTTCTTCCACCTGTGCAGGCTAAAAAGCAAACAAAAACTATAATATAGTCATTTCCTACTGAGCTTAAAATAACATCTTCATCCTGGCCTTTAGGCAGCCCTGCTCTGGCTTATCTGGGTTCTGGTCTATCTCAGAAACTCCTTCCCTTCACTTCCCGTGACTCAGGTCCCCCAGTGGTCTGTGTCTCCTGGTTCTTGTTCACCACCTTCCAGTCCCCAGGCTCCTCCCTCTACCTGAGTCTCCCTGTTCCTCCAGTCTTCTCCCTCTCAAGGATAAACTTCCTGCCACCAAGTACAGTCCTCTGATTTGCTCATGGCTGTGGCTCCTGAGCTTGGCACATCACAGCCCCCAACTTACGGGCTCTTGGGGGAATGAAAGAATGCCTGGATCTTTCACAAGCCAGGCTGTTCCAAACAAGCCCTGCATCACCTGACAAAATCCTTTGCTGGTGACTGCTGTTTCTGCAGCGTAGTGACCTGGCCATGGTCACACAGCTAGGAAGGGCTAGAGCCTGTATTCAAACCAGCCTGCCCCTTTAAGACCACATGAGCAGTACTGCGGGCAGCTGAGCTCTATAGCAAATTCTAACACTGCATGCATGCATGCATGAGTGGGCAGGTTCTAAACACCCTTTTCCACCCTAAGCTGCTCGGGACCGGCCAGCATTTTTAAAAGGATCTTCTGGGGTCCACTTTTGGTCTTCAGAAAGGAGGGAAATCCACTAAAGGAGAAGTGTGCATTAAGTACTGGACTTAGAGGGCCTTGTGATTTTCAGCTCTGCTCAATATTGCCAGCACCAACAGCCGCCCAGGCTTGGGGGTGGGGGTTGGGAGTGGAGAGCACACATTCAGTGCAGGAGGCAGCCACACAGGGAACATCATATCCTGGTAGCTGTTGGTTCTCTCCAGGGTGGCTCTGCTATCTTGTGAGAGTCCTATCTCTCTCTGGCTAGCTGCCATTTGCCTGGCAGCCTTGGTGTCTTGTCTCATCAATCATCCGGCTGCGCTCAGCCAGCCTGGATCTCCGAATAAGCCGTGTGTGCGGAAGATAGAATGGCCCGGAGCTCTGGAGGGAATCGAACTTTCTAGGAGAGAGGCAGGGGAGGACCAGAAGTACTGCAGGCCGGAAGTCTCAATGGATCCCTCACCGCTGAAAAAAGCCCACTAGGGGAGGAGGCCAGCGCAGGAACGGAGGAGAGAAAGGAAAAGGGCTAGGAGGTTGGAGTAGAGGTGGAGGCTGTTGGTTTCCTATTGCAATTGAAATCCTGTCTCTTCTGGGCCCGCCAGCTGCAGCACCCTCCCACCCCAACCCTTGCCCCGAGCACGCTGACAGCCCAGGAAAGCAGGCAGGTTGTGGAGGTGATTTATTGTAGGCTCTGCCTCCACAAACACCAGACTTGGTGGCCTGCCTCCGTGCGCGCAACCTCCGCTGCCCCCAGCACTTCCGGGTAGGAATCCTCGGGGAGAGCCTAGCTCCCACTTGCCTGGTTTTCTTCCCACCCCAGCCTCTAGGGTGAGGCTTTGTCTCCCTGTGAAACGCACTGCTGAAAGTCAAGACGTCTGAGTCAGGCTCCCCCCCCCCCCCGAGATTTTCTAGCCCAGCTCTCGGCTTTTGTTTTTTGTTTTGCTTTTTATCTGAACAATTAAAAGTAATTTCGAACATTTAAACTGGACTAGATTGTCCTTAAAAATTGGTTTTCTGCTCTGTGAGTTTAAGGCCAGCCTGGCTCCATGACAGGCTCCAAAGCTACAGAGAAAAACCCAGTCTCGAAAAACAAAACAAAAAAAAATATTTTTCTGGGGGCTGGAGAGATGGCTCAGTGGTTAAGAGCACTGGCTGCTCCTCCAGAGGTCCTGAGTTCAATTCCCAGCGACCACATGGTGGCTCACAACCATCTGTAAAGAGATCTGGTGCCCTCTTCTGGCATGCAGGTATACATGGGAGAAATGTTGTATACATAATAAATAAATAAAATCTTTAAAAAAATGTTTTTCTGGGCTGGAGAGATGCCTCAGCAGCCAAGAGAAATGACTGCTCTTACAGAGAACCCCAGTTCAATTCCTAGCAACCACATGGTGGCTCACAACCATCTAAAATGAGATCTGGTGTGTCTTCTGGGGTGCAGGTACACATGCAGGCAGAACACTGTATACATAATAAATAAATAAATCTTTTTTAAAAAAGGAAAAAGAAAACAAAAACTCTTAATTTTGTAAAAGAAACATATAAACAGGGCTGGAGAGATGGCTCAGTGGTTAAGAGCACTGACTGCTCTTCCAGAGGTCGTGAGTTCAATTCCCAGCAACCATATGATGGCTCACAACCATTTGTAATGAGATCTGGTGCTCTTTTCTGGTGTGTAGGTATACATGGAAGCAAAATGTTGTATACATAATAAATAAATAAATAAATCTTAAAAAAAAGAAACATATAAACATAAATGTTCTAATAAATATTCAAATACACCCAAAATGTAGTGACTTAAAATACCACTGTGGAGCTGAGTATGGTGGTTCACACATAATCCTCCAGAAGGCTGAAGCAGGAGGGCTTCTGTAAAGTTCAAGCCAGCCTGGGCTACAGAGTACCAGGCCATCCTGAGAGCAGGTGTAAGCCCCTGTAGTAAAACACAAGCAAACGCAACACAGCAATAACAATACTTTGCCTGTAATCTCAACACTTGATGGTTCATGCCTGTAGCCTCAGCACTCGATGGTTCATGCCTGTAGCCTCAGCACTCGATGGTTCATGCCTGTAGCCTCAGCACTCGATGGTTCATGTCTGTAATCTCAGCATTCGATGGTTCATGCCTGTAATCCCAGCGTATGGGAGGCTGAGGCAGGAGAACTGCTGTGTGTGAAACCCTGTCTCATAAAACATAAAACTCCCACAGATGTTTGCTTGGACCCAGATATTACCTGGACCCCGAGTCGTTGCTCTCAGGCAGCTGGCAGTGCAGTCCTTGGACCGTCTCATGGGACAGGAGTTCTAATGTAACATGCTCATTCGGGTGGCCTATGCTATTGGCCTCCAAAAGCCACTCCTTATTGCCTGATGTCCGAGGGACAGTATGCCAACAAAATCGAGTACCCAACTGCTGACAGAGGCGTACCCCTCTAATCGCAGCACTCGGGAGGCAGAGGCAGAAAGCTCTCTGTGAGTTACAGGCCAGATTGCTCTACACAATGAGTCCCTGGACAACCTAGCTACACAAAGAAACCCTGCCTCAAGAAACAAAACAAAACAACAAACAAAACACCAAACACCTGAAGCAATAGCTGAATGTTTTGCTGTGACGTGGCCTTAAAACCCACACGATGTTATTTCTACTATCATTTGTTGGTTTAACAGGCTGATGTTAACGAGCTCAGGTCCAACAGGGATGTCAACTCCTGCTCATGAATTGTTTTTTTTTTTTCCAAAAAACACTAATTTATTTGTTTGTTTGTTTATCTATCTATCTGTCTATCTATTTTTTCTGCATTGGGTGGGTTCCTACTCTCACTAAGTTGCATGTGTGGAGGTAAGAGGTCAACTTAGAGGAGTCAGTCTCTCCTTCTACCATGTGGTGCCTAGCAATGGAACTGAGGCTGTCAGGTTTGTTGGCAAACACCTTTACCCACTGAGTCATCCCACAGACACACACAGGCACACACACAGGCACATACACAGACATACACAGGCACACACACAGACACATACAGGCACACACACACACAGACACACACACTCACTCACTCCTCTTGAATTTTGGCAGCTGGTTTTAAAACTACTCCAAACAAACATAAACTGAAAAATCAAGTTTTCTTCCCACCCCACCCCTCAGAGGCCTCATTACATCCTCTAGCAGCAAATACAACCCATTTTCTATATGTCTTCCCAGAGAGAATGCACACCCACCCATAGCACAGAGACCTGAGAATTATAAAAGCACACAATTCTTACCCTCTACTTTGGCTGTTCAGATTTTATCCCATGCAATCACAACCCAGTCCACTCAAGCAATGGATTCCGTTGGATTTGCTCTCTACCTTTTGCAACTTGGTCTCTGAAATGCAACCCAAGAGCCAATAGTTCCAGCTCTGTATCACCTGGTGCCTCTTGGATCTCACGCTCTGAATCTGGATATCAGACAGGTTCGAACAGCAAAAATGTTTGTTGGGCTGTAATCGCCAGCCTGAGGGAAGAGCATCTGAACAAGGTCCAAGCAAGTTCCAGCTAACCCTGGGTTTCGTAGAAAGACCCTGTTTCCAAGAAAAAAAGAAAGAAGGGACAGAGGGAAGGAAGGAAGAAGTCAAGCAAACAAATGAACAAATAAACAAACAAAACACCAAAATTCACACTTAAGTGTTAAATCAGGAGTGTTACCCCAGCCCCTGGCATCCATCCCATCCCCCTGACCTGGGAGTTGCATTGGTCTGGACTCCAAGTGCTGGGTTGCCATAAATACCACTTCCACAGGGTACTTAAGTGGGCTCCCAGAGGAAGAACTGTGGTTCTGGGTTTGCATGTGCTCCCCACTTTCCTGTCTCCCCGCCATGCGCTCGGCCACCCAAGGGCGCTGTACTTAATAAAACAATGGGCATTTTAATTTGGTTTAATCTGACCTTATTGAATTTCTTTGAGACGGCAGAGCTGTCCGTCTTAGAATCTTTTCCAAACACTAAGTGAATACATAACAAATGCTGTTCCAGAGTCAGCAATATGGCGCGGCATGTTAAAGGTGCTTGCTTTCGAGTTTGACAGCCTGAGTTTGATTCCTTGAACTCACAAAATGGTCCAAGCTATTGTGAAAAGCTTATATTATATTTTACTACCAGGAGTTTCTCTTATTTAATTCTTTTTTTGTTTGTTTGTTTGTTTTTGTTTTTGTTTTTCGAGACAGGGTTTCTCTGTAGCTTTGGAGCCTGTCCCGGAACTAGCTCTCGTAGACCAGGCTGGCCTCTAACTCCCAGAGATCTGCCTGCCTCTGCCTCCTGAGTGCTGGGATTAAAGGCGTGTGCCACCACCGCCCGGCCCTCATTTAATTCTTAAAACGTCTCTTGGGGAGCTGGGAGCTGAGCTATTTATTGTCTTGGTAATGCAGACAAAGAAATAAAAGCTGGGGAAGATAAAGTGACCTTTCTGAGGTCCTGAATCTGTAGAGATAGGATTCAAGCTGAGTCAGTCTGAGGCTAACTTACTTCTCTTGGACAGAGGCTAATTCCAATCATACTGGATCATCAGGCCCAGGGTCTCTGTTGAGGCCCCACAAGGGAAATGGGCGGTATGACCTATCTCTCCACATTCCCTTCACCTTCAGGCCATCCTTGAAACTGGGAAGCTGACGCAGAGAGCCTCTGTGCTGTAGGCCAAAGAAAAAGGGGTGGAACCATTTGAAGAAGGAAGGGGAGAAGAGAGATGTGTTAGCCATATTTAGTCATTGCTATGACATATACTGGAGAAAAGCTGGGTATACGTAATGACTTTCAGGCCTTCTGAGCTACTCAGTGAAACCTTGTCTCAAAAAGAAAGAAAGAAAGGAAGAAAGTAAGAAAGAAAGAAAGTAAGAAATCATAAATAGTAATAATAAAATAAATCACTAATTTTAAAAATCATACTGTTAAAAGTAGATAAATAAATAAATAAGCAAGCCTGTGATCCTGTGACCCAAGCATACTCCCCTGTTACTGATATTCCCCACTTTCTTGTGTATGAGCCCTCTGTAGCCTGTGAGGACAGGAAGTGGTGGTATATAAAGGTAAGGCACTGTGAGGGTCAGGCCATCTTGACCTCTACTTCTGGCTGGGCCATTTATTGACCTTAGCTGAGCCTTGTGGTGCAGGTTTGAATTCCTAGCTACTGTGGAGGTTGAGGCAGGAGGCTCACAAATTCAATGCCAGTCTGAAGATCTTAGCAAGATCCTGTCTCAAAATAAAAAGTTCAAGGCAGAAAAAAAAAGGGGGGGGGGAGGAGCACACTGATGTCACAGCATTCATGGGTTCAACTTTGACCTCATTTGAGGCGGTCTCTGTTGGCTGCCCTATACACCGGGCTAGTCGATTTTGAGTTTCCGTAGATTCTCCTGTCTGCCTCCTATCTCTCTGTAGGAACACAGGTTCCTGGCTTTATATGCATTCTGGGGATTTGAACTCAAGTCCTCAAAATTGCATGGCAAACACTTTACCTGTTGAGCCATGTGTCCTGCTGCCAGTATGGTCTGGATGGACATGGTGGTATATGCCTGTAATCCCAGTCCTCAGGAGACAGAGGTGGGCAGATCTCTGTGAGGCCAGCCTGCTCTGTATAGTAAGACCTTGTCTGTCTAAAAAAAGTATAAGGGAAAAAAAGGAAGATTTAATACTTAGTAAATCATTGAGAAAATCAGAGTTTGTGTGGAATGGCTCAGTCACAGAAAATTCTTTGAGAAGGATTTTTCTTTGTTCCTAGAGCTAAAAGGAAAAAAAAATGCCTTTATGCTCTTTCTACTTATTTTTATTTTTTGTTTATGAACATTTTGTCTGATGTATACCACATATGTGACTGTGATCCTCTGGAATTAGAGTTATGGATGGTTGTGGGCCACCATGTGGGTGCTGGAAACTCAACCCAGGGTCTGTCATAGCAACAAGAACTCTTAGCTGCTGAAGCATTTCTATTCCATACCCCACCCCCTCACATTATGTTCTCTTTTTGTTGTTGTTGTTTTGAGACATGGTTTCTCAGTGTAACCATGGCTGTCCTGGAATTCACTCTGTAGACCAGGCTGGCCTTGAACTCACAATGCTCTCTTTACCACAGAGCCACGTCTCCCGAACTTGTTATTGTTTTTTGTTTGTTTGTGGCAGGGTGCCCTGCTGATCTTAAACCTATTACTTAGCCGAGGTTAGCTTTGATCAGACCTGTGTGCCATAACACCCAGCTTATTTTCTTAAAACATTGTAGCCCAGGCTGGGCTGAGGTTTACCATGTATCCCTTTATGTAGTACTTTAACTTCTGTCCCGTTTCTTAAGTGCTTGAGTTTACAAGTATGCCCCTCTCCCAGTTCTCAAAGCAATCCTTCTTTCTTTCTTTAGTTTTTATATTCCTTTAAAAACACTATCATAATTATGTATATGATGTATGAGTGCATGGAAGTCAGAGACGAGCTCTATATGCATGGGTTCTGCTGTTCATCTGGATTATACAGCAGGCACTTTCCCCAAAGAACCTGTTAGGTCCAAAGGAGACTCCAGTCCCCCAAACTCCAAAAAGCAGTCCAGATATCCAGAAATGGGCTCAGCGTGGACTATAGGGGATTTCTGGTGTTTAGATCAAAGGCAGCCTTCCTCCGGAACTTGTGAAACCAGTTCTCCTCTACCAGAAAGAGTCATTTCTTCTAAATACTGGTAGAAAGGGCAAATGGCTATCTGTGGTGGTGACTGGTAGCATACCAAAGCACACGCTGGCCTCCGGGCTCCCTCAGTCTCACAAATACCTGTAACATATTTCAAAGTCCATGCTGACGTCTTAGCCCTTCTCACCTCCTCCTCCACCCTAAACTCCCTCCAGCTCTAGGCCTTCCCTCTTCCCAGCCACTCATTCTCCTTATAACCCTGCTATTCCAGCTGTGCTCTCTCTCTCCCTTTGTCTCCCAGGCCCTCCCTGTCTCTTCCACCCAACTCCCTATCTCTGCATTCCCGCTCTGCTTCTCTTACTTCCAGGTCCAGTCCGCTGGTCATGACTGACTTATTACTTTCTCTCTCTGTTCTGGGCTCCTTCAGATACCTCTGGCTCTTCTCTCTCTCCTACCTACAATATCCTTAACCATATCATGAAGTGGTCTTATCCTCAGTGTATGCAGAACCATCTCGCCACCCTCTTCTGTTGTTTTGTTTTGTTTGTGACAGGCTCTTCTTATCTCTCCCAAGCTGCCCTGGAGTCCACTGTCACAAAGGGCCTTCACCTCCTGAATGCTGGGGTCACAGGCCTTCGCAAGTGGTTTATGTCTTATTGGCGACTGAACCCAGGTTTTTTGAACCACTTAGGCAAGCACACTACCTACTGACCTAGCAGCCCAGGTCCTTAAATTGCTCCTAAACAGTGGAAAGGACAAACACACTGTGTTCCAGACTGTGAACCACCAGTTCTCAATCTCTCAGGTTGTTTTGGTTTTGGTTTTGATTTTGGATTTGTAATGTGCGTTGGTGTTTTGCCTGCATGTTTATATGTGTGAGGGTGTCGGTCCCTTAGAACTGAAGTCACAGACAGTTGTGAGCCTCCATGTAGGTGCTGGGAATTGAACCCAGGTCCTCTGGGAGAGCAGTCAGGGCTCTTCCTGGTCCCTGGATTAGGTTTTGTTGTTGTTGTTTTGTTTTGTTTTAAGCCTTCTGTAGAGAAAGAATAAGGAGGGAAGGAAAAAAGAAAGAAGGCTGGCAGGAGCCCCTGGGATTGTCAGCTCAGCTCCTCCCAAGTGTCTGAACCAGTAAGTGGGGGATTGCAGAGACAGCTGACTTCCCATTCAAGCAGGCCTTTTTGAGTTAACTCTTCCTTTCCCCAGCACAGTGCTCTAGGCTTTAGGAGCGTGCAAGCAGGTCTGAACAGGATGCTGCAGTGTAGGATGGAGGAGGTGTGGCTCTTGCCCCCACGTCTAGAGTGGAGGGAGGAGGGGGGTCTGAGCTGGGGGAGGGGCAGAGATAGCATCTGGCCCAGGGGACCTCAACCACAGAGGAACTGCACTCCCTGAACCTTCTTCTGGCTCCCTAGGAACCCCAGAAGTTGTGACAATCTAGCCTGTGTCAGGGAAAGAGTATGCAGTTGGTGGTTGGTGTCATGCCAACCCGGCAAGTGGCCAGAGCCCAGGCTTTACTGGGAGGAGAATAAACAGGGAGCCTGGTGACCAGCTGTGATCCAGAATCTTCTAGCAGAAGAGCACTGAGGAGGAACACCCAGGACATCCTTTCTTTGGGTATCAGCCAGGTCCAGGATGGGCTTCTGGGCCCCCAGAAAAGGTGCTATCACAGGAATGGCCAGATGAGCCCACTTTTGAGGGGCCTTTTAGTTCTTACCATCTGAGACTCTGTGGTTCAGCTTTCCCCTCGGTAGGATTCTCCATGTCAGGCACCCTCTGAACTCCCTGGTTACCCTTCAGGAGGTAACTTTTCCATTTCAGTCTTTGTGCTCCGCAAGAGACCTTGACTTTCAAATCTGGGGCTCCAGGACAAGTTTGTGTGCCAGCACAGCCAATCAGCAGACCACCCCAAATCCAGTGAGCCCAAGCCTAAGGAATTTTTCTAGAACTCTTGGGAACAGTAAAACTGTTAGTAATTACCTTGATGTATATCTGGAGGTACTGGAGGCCATCTGGCCCTGTCAGGGAAGGAGTGTGCCTGAAAATGGAGCTGGAAAGAGAAAATGCCATGAGTTAGGGGCTAACCTGGGCTACATAGCAAGACCCTGTCTCAAAAACACAAAAGAGTGAGATAGTTCAGTATTTGTTCAGTTCCCCTTTCTGGAGGAGTCCAGTGTTCTCTTTGGGCACTAGGTACAAACATGGTACACGTACTTCCATGCGGGCAAAACACTCAAATCACAAAAATACAACAAATAAAATTTAAAAACAACAGTACCAAAACCAAAAAGAGTTGAGGCTAGGGAATGTAAGACATTTGGCAAGTGCTGGCCTAGTTTGCATGAAACCCTGTGTTTGATGCCTAGCAACACATAAACCAGGCATGGTGGCACACATCAGTATTCTCAGAACATGGGAGGTTGAGGCAGGAGGACCAGGCCTGGGATACACGAGTCCCTATCTGGAGAGAAAGGGTAGAGAGAGAACAAGACAGAGCCTAGCTTGCGTGTGCATGTCCATGATTTCCGCCATCAGAAGGCTGGGGCAGGAAGAGTATGAGGCTAAGGCCAGCCTGGGTTATGGAAGGAAGTTTCAGGCCAGCCTGAACTGTGAGACATTGTCTCAGGAAGGGGGAAAAAGCTTGACAAGACTTGAACTGTCTGGAGCTTCTGGAGCAGCCAGTGCTGTAGTCCCTGTCTCACTCGGGAACTTTGCAGGGAAAGGGTCCAGAGTGCATTACTGTGATGTAAACGCTATTTTGGGCAGAAAGCCTCTGGATTCCTGGGGACTGAACCAAGGGCCTTGTGCAGAGAGGGTTTTGTTTGTTAATTTGTTTCTGAGAAAGGGTCTCATTATGCATCCTTGGCTGACCTGGAACTTCCTGTGTAGACCAGGAACTCACAGAGATCCAACTGCTTCTCTCTGTGTGAGCCCCGGAAGCTTTGCGCAAAGTAAGCACAAGTGTTTCATCACCGAGCTACATCCCGGCCTCAGTTCCTGGAATCATTTATTGTCTGAAAGCAGAACCTTGCCCCCGAAAATCGTAAACATCCTAAAACTCTTCCCAAGAGCAACCAGAGAAAATTGGCTTTGATCTCTGGAGACTGGAAGTCACCACACTCAGACGGATGTTGCCATAGTTATCTTCTCTGTCTTGTCAGTGAAGGGCTCACTCTTGTCCAAGTCAGTGATTCTTAAGCTGTGGGTCTGGACCCCTTTGGCGGGTGGGGTAAAATGACCCTTTCACGGGGGTTGCATATCAGAGATCCTGCATTTCATATATTTATTTAATTACAATTCATAACAGTAGCAAAATTGCAGCTACGAAGTAGCAACAAAGGTAAGTCAGGGTTGGGGTTTGCCACAATGTGAGGAACTAACCGTCTGAAAGGGCTGTGCACTAGGAAGGTTGAGAAGTATTCTTGGCTTTGATCCCTAGTCTCTGTGAGGACGATGGTCTACAGACCCTGAGTTCTAATTAAGTCTGTCCTTTTTCTCCTTTAAGATAAGAATTGCACCCAGGACCTCACGGATATTAGACAAACTACCAATGAGCTACATCCCAACTCCCCTGGCTACCCTCTCTTTTTTTAAGATCTAATTCCTTCTTAAGTATATGAGTGTTTTTGTCTCAATGTGTATATGCATTTCATATACATACAGATGCCTTTGGAGACTAGAAGAGACCTTGCCCTGTAACTGTAGCTATACACAGTTGTGAGCCTCCATGGACGTGCTGGGATCTGAACATGGGTCCTCTGCAAGAGCAGCAAGTGCTCTTACCAGCTAACCTGTCCCCCCAGCTCTCTCCAGTTACATTTCTCTGTGAACTTCTATGGGTACATGGTTAAACTTGTCTTGTTTGTTTGTTTGTTTCTCCTGCTAATCTGTCCTCTGCCCGTTTCATTTTCAGGACCCAAAATACTAAGCTTAAGAGAAGGAGTAGAGGCATGTGATGATAGCGCATGCCTTTAATGTCACACTGGAGGCAGAGGCAGGTGGCCTGATTCCCAACACCCACATGGCTGCTAACAACCCAGAAACTCCAATTCCAAGAGGGAGCTGACCTCCTTTTTCTGGTCTCCAAGGGCACTGCATAGACATGCACACACATCAAACATGCAGGCAAAAGACTCACACACATCCTTACAAAAATAAACCCTAACAAACAAAAATACAAAAATAAACAACCGTAACAAAACAAAGAAGACTGGGTATGGCCATGCAGGCCTGAAATCCCAGCACTCTGGAGAAAGAAGCAAGAGGATCAGGAGATCAAGGCCAACTTTGACTACTTAGCAAGTACGAGGTCAGCCTGAGCTGACCCTGCCTCAAAAATAACAGCAAAACAAATAAATCAGAAAGTTTTTGGGAGGTGGAGGAAGGAGGACCCGAAGTTCAAAGCCCTGACTACATAGTGAGTTTAAAGTTAGCCTGGTTTACGTGTGACAAAGAAGAAACAACAAAAAGATAAAGAAAAAAGAAACAGAGAGTTCCCTGCCAAGCTGGGTTTATGTATTTTGAGACCTGACTTTAAAAAACATCAAAAGGGAGCTGGGGAGATGGCTCAGCAGGGAAAGGCATTTGCTGCCAAGCTTGACTACCTGAGTTTGAGCCCCAGGACAGACACTGTATAGGGAGAGAATCAACCCCAGCATGCTGTCCTCTGGCCTCCTATTGAGTCCTATGGCTTTTCCGGAAAGAGAAATCATTAGAGTTGCCAACATTGGGTCTGTGTAGCCACACAGCAGTGGCTGGCAATGTCGAATGTTAGTCACCTAGGAAGACAGTAGATTCCTGGAGATGGGGACTGAGTTCCAGGTCTTTGTGTTCTCTTCCACTATGGCCAAGTGCCAGCTGTCATTTCTCCATCATTGGATTGCTGCTTTCCAGATGTGTGTGTGTGTGTGTGTGTGTGTGTGTTGGAGGAGGGCCCACTTGTTCATCCTGGCCATCCCGCTAGCTTAACCCCGAAATAACCACGCAGAAATTGTATTAATTAAAACACTGCTTGGCCCATTTGTTCTAGCCTCTTATTGGCTAACTCTCACATCTTGATTTAACCAATTTCTATTAATCTGTATTAATCTTGTTTGGAAGCAGCTGCAGGACAGGGAAACTACTGTTGATACCCCAGAGTGACTCTAGGTTCCCACCAACTCTCTAGACATTCATTATATGCCAACAACATGTTTGACACAGGCCTGACTGCTGGGCAGAGTGGGCCCACGCTGCTTTCTAGTGAAAGGAGGCAAAAAACAAAACCAAGAAATGTTACTGGAATTTTAAGGTCAGACCTGCCTCTGGGACTTACAACAGACTAGTCTTGGCCATTGGTCCTCATGTGCCAGTTAAAGAGATGAGGAGGAGTTGGGGCTAAGGCTTAGTTGGTGGAGCACTGGCCTAGCATGCATGAAAGTCTGGATTTGGTCTCCAGCAGCACAGAAACGAGAAGTGGTGGCCCTAAGGAAATAGAGACGGGAGGATCAGAAGTTCAAGGTCAACCTCAACTCTATAGGAATGACCAAACTAATGAGAGAGAGACAGAGAGAGAGAGAGAGAGACAGAGAGAGAGAGAGACAGAGAGAGAGAGACAGAGAGGGTGAAGAGCAGAGAGAAGATATAAGTAAAGGGGCTTTATTGGAAAATACAAATGAAAGACTTTAGTGAACCCCAAGCTCATCTTTATGTTTATCCAGGAGAACACTTGCAGGAGGCAGGGATGTACATTGCCTTTAAATGTCTTTAGGAACTATGGAGACTCAACAGTTAAGAGCACTTGCTGTTCTTCCAGAGGACCAGATTCCGCACACATGCACACACACACATGTACACACACACACACACACACACACACACAAATACAATAAATTGTTTTAAAAATGTTTTCATTAGCCAGGCATGATAGCACACATCTTTAATCCCAGTTCTTGGGAGGTGGAGGAAAATCGGTATCTATGAGTTCAAGGCCAGTCTAGTCTACATAGTGAGTTCAACCTCTCAAAAAAAAAGAGCCTTCATTAATTTATTAATTACACATAATACTGGGTTTCAATTTGTTATTTCAATACATGTATATCTTTATTTAAATTATTTCTAATTGCTTTGTTCAGAGATGTTCCTTTTTCCTTTAGCTTTTTGTTTTGTTTTGTTTTTTTTTTTTT